CCTTTCCCTTGGAAACTGGGAGGATGCCGGAGGGGAAGGGCGGGTCTCTTTCGAGGAAAAAGCCCTGGGGACAAGTTTCTTCGTTTCCTCAGTCACCGCTGGAAAATTGAAAAGGAGCCGATGTATCTAATTTCTCCTTTATAAATGTCATGGCAGAAAATCGTAGAGGTAGTGGCCAAATTAACATACACATCTATATCGAGCCAGATTTATGAAAACCGCACCGGCGGGCTCCTGGAGGCCACGCACCTTAAACTGACTCAACCAAAGTAAATTTTGCCAAGAAACTCAGCTCTTACCCATGGTTTTCTTAAGGTGACTCTCTTCTTGGTTCCTGATTAGCAAACGAAACACTCAAGTCCATCGAAAAGAGACTCTGGACTTGGCCATACACTCTAGCTGCTTGAAGGCTCCTCATGACAGAGGAAGCTTGAGAGTTAACCAAGTTCTAAGCATAGAATTCAAGGTTAAATCACCCCCCTGACTTCCTCCCCCCCCCCAGCACGTGCTTGAGGGGAATGCTTTCATTGGTCAATGAGCGTCAAACATTAAAAAAATTTGACATGACAAACTAAAAGCAGACATGACGAGTACACTGACTCTCCCAGAGCAAGACTAACGGAAAGTACCACGCTTTTGCAGCACCCTCCCCCCTTAGGGATTGACATGGAGGCCCCTTCCCAGTCCCCAAGGCGAGTTAGCTCAGGGACTGAGCTTGACAATGAGACCAACCAGGACAGCAAGCCCCCTATGTTTTTTCTCACCGCAGTGACCAGAAACCTGGCTATCGCCAGGTTCCTGTGCGAATCAGTTCTGGTCCGTTTTGAGGTATGTTTTTAAAAAATTCGGCTGGATATACAGTATACGTTATTTCCCAATGGAGCTAGGCCTTTCCAGGAGCCTGGCCTTTCCAGATTCTGCTCGGCAACTTTTTAGCAACTTTTCGGAAAACTAGCACTTTTGGGGGGAACTTTTGGGCTATTTTGAACCAAAATGCTGAATAACCCCCCTTTTTTAAAAAATAAACAAGTTAAAATCCTCTTGGTTAAAATTCTAAACATGTTTCTAGTAAAACTCATATTTTTACCTTTTGAATGGGTATCATGTGGACGTGGTAATTAATTACAAGAATTGGGTTTGGGTAGCTTCAACCACGTTCCCAGGGCTTTTCCCTTCTCGTGGGGGGCGCGGAAAAGCCCTGTGTAAACAAGATGGCGGACGCCACGTTGTCTTCCGAAGACGAAGAAATCGGAACCCCCTCACCCCCCAAAAAAAATAACTTTCATAACTGTCTAACTTTTTGTAACTAGCCACTAAGATTCAACTAAAGGTTGCCTAATTTGTTGTAACTAGTTACTTAGTTCTACCTTAATGTTGATTACGAAACAATTGTTATTAAAATTAGACATGCTGTCTTAAAAATATTCGAGCAACTTTACAAAATTTTTGAGCAATAACTTTTTCAGTTTTGAGCAACTTTTGAGCAACTTTTTGGCATATTTCTTCGCAACTTTTTAGCTTTTTCGGAGCAGAATCTGGAAAGGCCTAAATGGAGCCGCAACGGCCAGGGTGGAGATTTTAAGAGTTGCCACTGGAAAAACGTTCCAACTATAATTCTGGACAGGAGCCGAGTAATCGGCTCCTGTTCTGGACAATGATAATGTAAGGCCACCCGATATTCCTCTCCCCAGGAGCCCATTTGATGGGTTCCTGCTCTCCCCCCATCCCCGAAATCAAGGAGGTGAAAATGTTTCGCGAATTCGTCCTTTTTTCGTGAGTGGCGGGGGGTGGGGGGTGGGGGTCATCTGAAGAGGTTGTCTTCGCCATTATACTGGCTCTCTTGTAGGCTCGTCTACCAGCCTCTCGTTATCTGATAAAATTATAATAATGAATCATAATAAGGAATTTTTCGTGAGTTTAGCATCAAATCATCTGAAAATTCCAAAAGAATCACAAAAATTTCACCGATCAGATGCCCGCGAGCAAATTGGCCCAAGTTCTCTCGAGGGGGGCCTATAAGTCAAGAAAACAACAAGATCGTGTTATTTTAGTCGTCTCGAGGGAATCGAATTTCAAGTGTCGCATTGCTCCTTGTATTAAAAGGTCACTTGATATATAGCACAGCATTTGAGTGACCAACCAACGGGGTTTTTATCGTCAGCGCATAAACGCTTGAATCAAAAGGATTTCCTCGTTCGGTCACGACTAAATCTTGGTGAGTACTGATTCAAAAATAGGCAGTTTTTCTAGTATTATTCCATTAGCTAAGATGTTATGTTCCGCTTACCTGTGAATTGAAGCCTAGCTACGCCAACTTAAGCGTTCACTAACGACAGCCACTGACTGTTACAATGCCCGCCAAAACCATGCTACATTCAAACACAGCCGTTTGCAAGCAGTCCGCTTTCAATGCTATTTTGTTTTTTGCAAGGGTTTTTACGCCAAATTACTACCAAAGTGTTTTTGCCATATAATACGTGTTGAATTCAGCGATTAATCAAGTGTAGAAATTATTTGAAATTCAAATTTTCCCTTAAAAAAACAAAGACAAAAAAAATCATACAATCTCGATTGCGCGACAGAGCAGGGAAGTATTCCACCACTGCATGCTGCACGTTGCACGAGGCCAAACGACAATTCCTTTATATTTTTATTTTTCCAGTATACCTAATCACATTGTGTTGTCAGAAGATGGCTAGTGTTTCGGGTGTTTATACTGTAGGTAGAGGAACGAAGAGGCCCGAATCTCATGCGTGTCGTGGAAGTCATACTCAACATTTTAAAATTTTAATGCGGAATGGTCAGTAGACAGTGAAATTGTTTAGTGAAGCAGTACTCCCTATAATGGGATAATGGGCCTTTTTAAAGATGCTCCGCCCTACAGGGGTTGTAAAAAGTTATAGAAAAGATCAAGAGTAAAGAAAACTGCTATCGATTGACCTCATTCTGGAAAATCCAAAAAATAATGCGGAATATCCTGTTCGATTGACCTGCTTTTCTAATTCCGGAAAAAACGGAGCATATTCCAAGCATTCTTCTCCAGTTCTGCTTGGATTAAAATTAAAAACGGAATAATGACTTCATTTTCCTTGTGTCGTGGTTGGTTTTTACTACAACATAAAATAAAAAACTGCGGATGTCGTCGCGTCGGTGACAATAAACGCAGATGGGACACTTTTCTACACGAGGCAATCGAGAATGCTCGGAGTAAGGGAAGAGCGTTCCAAGGAAAATAGCGGCAGGTTGCTTGATTGAAAAAGTGTTTTTGAATCTTTAATATGCCACGAGGTACTCGTTGCTGCGTTCCAAAGACGAGAACACTTGATCGCGGCAGGAGCACCTCGTGATCGCAGATTGGTTATCATTTTCAGCAGTAAAACCATTCTTGCTGACGTTGCATTTTAACTTGCATTATCAGCAAGTTCGAAGTTAAGTTCCAGTGGTGGTCTGTTAAACCTTTTTTTTTGTCGGCTTTTGCCTTTAAGATGAACAATGCGTTTTTTTTAAGTGAGCCAGGCGAAACAATAATCGAGGCTGAAGCCTTGTATTCATTCCCAGGGTTCTCTCCTACTCGTCCATACGGAGCACGAACTGCGAACAAGGTTGAGGTGAATCCATAGAACGAAAATAAGAACGAAACTACGGTATATTGCAAGTCGAATCATTAACCATGAAAGTAGCTATTAGAAAAGGCGTTTCCATTTCCGTCCGCAGATATGTCTTGCAAAACTATTTTTAGCAAGTTTATTTACGTTTTTTTGTTTGGTTGTTTGTAATATTGGTTTTATTTAGTTGACGAACTTTTAACCCTTTTATAAGCTAAGTGCTCTTGGCTAATGACCAGATTCATCTTCAACAAAGCAGTTAATGAGCCTTGAGTTTATTCAAGCGACGGATTTTGCTACTACGAGAAAAGAATGCTTAACGACTACTTATGTTTCCGTTTTTTTAATCAATTCATTTTTCAAAGACTAGGCTGACTCCGAGGTTTTTTGCATGTCACGTCTTCTCAATCAACCAATTTTTAAAACGTTTCCCCGGGTGTACTTCTTCTTTCCTTCCCCAATGTTGTGATTCGCGTATACACCTGATTGAAAAAACGTTGTCGCTTGAAAAGTAAAAACCATGAACGATGGGACCTAATGGATTTATGGGTACAACTTAATTAGCACTGCAAATTTAAAGTTCTTCTAAAAAATGTTTACATTTACGAAGCTTTTCGCGACGATGCATTCCAAAAAACTTAAAACGGTTTCCAGTATTTACGGCTCACAACTTCACCAGTGCTGGACACATAAGATATTTCTACAGTTAAAGAGCGTAGCCATATCGCTAACGCACACTTGAAAATCATAAGATAGAACCTATAAAAGCGTTCTTGGAAGACAAAAAAAGGCAACAGCATGCCTTAAACAAAGTACTCTAGGGATTTGCATCCGCACGAGCATCTCGTGACAATGTAAACTTTTGTCGAAAGAACTTTGAATTTGCTTTGCTAATGAACGTATACCCATAAATCCTTGAAACCTCATCGTTCATGGTTTATACTTTTTAGCGACCACGTTTTTTCAATCAGGTATATTTGCAAATGGTGAAACGTGAATCAACATTGGGGAGGGCATAACGTGACAGGTGTTTCAACAAATGTGACGAGTATTGTAGTTATAGACTCTTAAACATTTCTTTCTCACCTTTCCTCTCTTATAACTTATTCTGACTTTAATCAAAACTATTTTTGGCCTGGATAACAAAAGCATGCAAACATCAAAATGAACCAATCAGAGCTCGAAGCCTGTTGTCCGGAGTGGCAAGCGCGGGAAACGAGTGGGAACAAGTGACGATCAGTTTCGTCTTGTACCTGATTGGTTAAGAAAATGCGAGAGATTTTTAACCAGTCAAGAGAGGTAGAAATGCAATACCAAAGAATGGCCAAATTACCAACCACTTAATAAGGAAAGCTTTAAACGATTTAACGTACATTTTTCGTTTCAGTTTCAGTCATGAAGGTGTCTGTTTTGTGCTGCTGTGTTTTGCTTCTTGCCTCCCTTCACTCATGCCAATCCTACAATCCGTTTGCCCAGTTTGGTGTCTACTGCAATCGGGAAGCTTATGGAAAACAGGTCACCAAGAAAGGCTGTGATTCGAAGTACACCCAAGTAAAGGCCTGCCTTGGTACATGCGCGTCATACGCAATTCCGCTGTCCCACCCGCCTTATTTCAAACGAAAGTGTGAATGTTGCAAGCCGTCCCTCACCAGTGTGAAAATTGTAAGCCTGGAAAACTGCGACCCAGGGGTCTCCCCCTTAGTACAAGTGGAATCAGCAGAAAATTGCCAGTGCCACAGCTGTTCGTAACAACGGATCAGAGCCACTGTTTCGTGAAAATTTTGAGCGGTAGATGAAACGTTAATTACACGCTTGGAAGCTTGTAACTTGGTAGTGTCACGATATATTTTGTGCTAGAAGTCCCTAACGCGGCTTTTCCTATACCTTGTAAGAACTTTTTGTGTAAGAATGTGAACCTTGTATGGCCTAATATGAGATCACAATAGAAAATAAATTGTAAAAAGTAATTTTAAAACATCAAGTAACGAAATGTTCTTGTCTTCTTGTATTTTTTATCTATTGAAAGAACTTTCTTGACTCCAACAGGAAAGTAGCCTGCGAACAGCAGACGTATTTCCGGTCGCCGCTTCTCTCCGACCGGAAATACGTCAGCTGTTTGCAGGCCAACAGGAAAGGGGTTAGAGGCACAAAAATATAAATGACAACTGAAAAACGTGGGCCAGTGTGGGTGGTCTGTGCAACTGAATACTGGCCAGCCACGCGCGAGCCAAAACACCCCTTAAAGGGATCATCAAAGATTTTCATGTTTAGTTACAGAAGTAGTCAGGGTTGATTTGGTCGAACCCCTGTTAGCTCTGATCTTGGGTTATCTGCTAACATAGTATGCGACTTGTCATTGTCAAAATTTTCGCTGATCGGCCTTTGAACAACTCGGCCCAAAACTAAGGTACATAGCCTGTTGCAGGCGTTCAGATTTTGGGGACAGCGCAAAGAGATGATCATGTATTTGATCGCCTGGTAAGGTACACCCAACTTGGACCCACTCAGTACGGAAAAACTCTTAAGCTAGTGAGGATTTTATATACACTTATCCTTTAGTTCCGTACCATGAAAAGATGGCTACTCATTTGCATAGACCTCTCTTTCTTAAACATTGGGAGAAAATACGTATAAGATGCCCCATATAGAATTTTTGTATTAAATTATTAGGCCAAACATTTACTTTATATCCACGAGGTTCCGAATCGGATGAATGGGCAAGGGTTGGTACAAAATGGACCCTTAGCATGATACGGTCGCATGGTACACACCTAGCCTGCGCCCAGACGAAATTACTCTGGTTAACTCCGTCTGCGAAACAGCGCCGAAATCCTTGTTCTGGACTTCCAGCTGTGTACCCAGATTTGAGTACGCGCCACGATTGGCCAGTTAAAAAAGGCCTTTGTTTTGTTTGTCGTGATCGCCAATCAGGTTGAAGGGAAATTCGAAACGCACTTCCGGTAATTCGTTGAGTCCGTTGGGGGCTCAGAACAAAGATCTCTGCGCTGCTTCGCAGACGGTACTAATCAGAGTTTAGTTATCGTCTGCACGCAGGCTAGGTACACACCTTGCTGTAGGGCAAACGACGCAGAGCGGTAACAAAAACACAAAGAGATTACATCATTCAAAAAGCTGTCCTTTTTTTTCCAAGGTCCCACTGGGTCATTTGCCATCCAGCAGGGTATTTATATTTTTGTTCTTTTTGTACCATACGACCGCATCGTGATAAAGACCCATTCTCTTCTTACCAAACATGGCAAGCAAACTGTTTTCGAAAGAAAACATAACCTGCTATCAGGAGGCCCTCCTTCCCTTTTGTTTGGGAGACGAATGGAAAAAGGCGCGTTCTTTTTATCCTCTTTCCCCGTCCGCCTACTTTTGCGCTTTCTCCGAAAAAAAAAAAACACCTGATCGCAGGTTAAAGGAAAGAAGGACTGCATATTTATGGCGCTGACCTTCACGTCCTTGTTTTCTACAAACGATGTTCTTCGTGAATATGAGTCGTATAACATTATTTCTCGATAAGGGACGCAATTTATTCGAAAACATACCAAGACCGTTTTGAAAGCAAGATATTGTCTTAGAATAGGACAATTGCACGATGATGATATTTGACTACAAATACCAGAATTCATTTCGGTTTTGCTTTGTTATTTTAAGTTTTCAATTCCGCTGAGGATTAAAGAAAAATAGCCTTAATTTGCACAAGACAACAACAAACTCAAGGATTCTGGTAGTTGTAGTAAAATGACGTCATCTTGCAATTGTCCTAATATTATTTGATTTACAATGTCATGGTGATGTTATTTGTTCACTAGTTGTGTGAACTATAAAATTCACATCACTAGTTCGTCAAACTCTTTTCTACTTTTGAGAAGATTTTTTTTAATATTTAGCAAATAACTACAGTTGTCTATAAATTATTACAATTTTGTTGGAATCAAAAAAATGTACATTCCAATTTTTTAATCTTAAACCATGACAAACGTACCGCAGCCTTTTTGCTCGACTAAAGTAGACAGTTGTGTGACTGATTACGGCTAATTTTGTCCATGAGAACGCTTCTCACTCAGAAAAGCGACTGCAATAGTTAAGTTTAGTCAAATCAACAAGACGCGCATGCGCACTCGGTAACAGTCTCGATGGGATGATAATACTGCACCATTTTGGAAGGATCGGCGTTGTCTTGGCACCAGAGCCCCACGTCAACTTTCGCGGTTCTTATTGGCTGGCAACATGTGCAAGATTTCACTTGATAATATTTGGTTCCGGTTAAACCGGTTGGCGTCGAAAATGACAGGCAGGTCCCTAGACAGGTATTGACTGTCACTGAGCGCTGCTGACACCCTACGACCTAACAGGAAACCAAGAAAAAAAAAGAAGAGATTAAGAAAGTTTTCATACCAAAAAGCGTGGAATATACAGTAGGTGGTAGAGAAAAATCAGAAAGGCCCGTTCACAAGAGATTCGCGATTTCAAATACATGTCAGACTAAAATTGTGACTAGAGAAATCGGGACTTTTCCGAACGCTAATCTGAATTTTTTTTAGCAGCTTTGCCTTTCCAGATGAAATTTTCTGGATAAGTATAAAAAAAATTGTATCCGCCGTTGGTCAAAACCGTGAAGAGAAAAAGATACGTTCTCAAATTAAACTGAAACGGTGTGGAAGGGACACAATTTATGCGGCGTTTTTAAACTTTTCCCGATGTTTTTTGAATTAATTATCATTAGTGACGGGTTTTGTTGAACAACATGACATAAAGGACTAATGTATATGGAAAGCGGGCCTGGCTCCAGTTCAAAAGGTGACAGCGCAATCTCTATCCAGCAGTGGATAGCGCGCAATTAGTTTCCCTAATACGTATCCACTGGATAGTGATTTATCCGATGGATAGCGCTATCCACCTTATGAACAACTGGGGCCTGGTTGATAAGGATTCTGGGAATGTGTGGTGCGCAGATTTTAAAGAATCCTGGAATCATAGCTTCTTATTTTAATACACGCAGACATTCCTTAGGGCTATTGGACTTTAGCAGTCATGTAGACGTGTGTGGAGTCCGTAGACAACGTTAAGGTGTGACTTTTCATTTGAACGGCTTCAGCGGTACTTTACGTGATGCTATTGGTTTTTTAGTCAGATTTTAGAAAATAAATAGAATATTAAAAAAACGGCAAACATCGATTTGTACCACGCGACCAAGTTTCCCTTTATCTGTCGTTTTATACTGTTCATTATCGCTTCAACAAAAATAAGATGTTTCACGCTCACGCAAGTTTAATCCACATAAAGAATTAGTTCGGCACAGTTTTCATCTGCTCATTTTCTATATTGAGAAATCGTCAACTTGAATTAACGTTTGCCCTACTGAAATGTGATTCTAAATCTACCTAATATTGGTGCTGACACTACTTGAACTTTTGTTGACAGTGAAAGGATTATCAATACCATAGCCTGCGTAGCAGGCGCTTGGAAGTGGTGGGCACAAGAAAAAACGGGCGCACGCGCGCCCGTTCTCTCTTTCCCCCACAACTTCCAAGCGCCTGCTACGCAGGCTATCAATACCACAATGCGTTGCCATGAACGGCTTCTGGCTCGACAGAATTTCTTAACGGGAAACGAGAATTGCTTCAAGAAAGCGTACGAAAGACAACATGAGCACACATTTACGCTGTATTAAAGTAAAAGAATAAGTCATTAACAAAGGCAGTGGAGAATCAATACCTGAACTGTAAACGTTTTGCCCCTTATCACACAATGGACGCTCTTTATAGCTTGCTGCATGGGGTTCGTCGAAGAGGCAGACGGAAAACACGCGACAACCATACACGCGATCAAAAACATTTTTGCATTCTCTGCCATTTGTAGCTGAGGAGAAAAAGGAAACAGTTTTCCCTACGTTAGCAGAAGCGGGAAGTTGTTGTTTGTCTGATAACGATGGTGTGATAAACTGATGCGACTCATAAAGGCAAAACGTGTAGAAAGGTGTGAAATACCTTCAAAAACGCCCCCCAAAAAACAGGGTATCTCACCTATGTGGGAAAAACTAATGCAACCTCAGGCACTAAAGTGATCAGAATTTACCCTGGTTCTGTCTAATTCTATGCTGATGACGATTATAGCAAATCTTAAGCTTTACACTCATGAAAGCCGGATGACATCGGTTGCCGGTTTTATACTAGCGACGATACGATTCATTCAGCGAGACCTCATGGTCTCAACATACACACGCTACTACAGTTTTCCTCAGGTCTATCTTCGCTGTATCTTTAATGCTATCTAGTGGAAGTGACCAAGTTAAAATGCAGTCTAAAACTCGCACCCGTTTAAAAAAATTGGGCCAATTGTGCAACTAGCACCGACAAAACGAAAAAGTTTCGTTTTATTCATAAAAGTTGATTAGTTGATATAGCCAATTTTGCGTTTTACTTCACCAAAGACCCAGCACGGTCACAGTTTTTGTTGTCAGGTCGAAATAAACCCCCTTCGACAAATCCTAGCCTCTCAGTCCTTGGTTTAAATACAAGATTGTAGGCCAACCGTAGCGTCAAATTCCATTTCTTTATCCAGTCGAAACTCTGATATGTTTCCTAGTTAACATTAATACCTTTTCCTGTCTAGTCTAGTCTATAGTTCCTTGAAAACCAAACTCTTAGGAGCAGCGTTTACCTATAAAGCTAGCCTGCGTGGCAGGCGTTTGGAGGGAAAGGGATTGGGAGTTTCAGGCGCGAGAGAAACGCGAGGCTGCCACGCAGGCACATACCCTTTTGTACGGTAGTGTTCTTGGTTTAAAACCAACACACAGTTAGTGTCTTTCGCTTTTCTCACAATTAATTAAGTAATAAGTAAATTAATAAACGATCTTGTCGCGATGACGCTACGAAAACTAAAAGAACCATTTTAATAAACTGAAAGAGGTATTCAGGTATACGTATCTGAAGCTTTATAGTACCTTGTTAATCGCGCGAACGCGCGAGACACGCGGGGCCGAAGAGTTTTTCGCGCGCACTAAGATAACAGCCTGCTCAACTTACCCTTATGGAGAGATAAAAGCCTACGAATACTTAAACTTAAACCTACCCGTGTACAGTAGTCGACCTATCTAATGGAAAATATCTTAGAGAAGAACTTCCCCCTCTCGCGCGAGTTCCTCGAGAGTGCACAATTGGCAGTATTCTCAATAGACATCAGATTTGTAATGTTCTAGTTCAATACTCTGTGAAAACATTAATGCCATGCGTTTGATGTCATTTGACCCAGCCATCTATCTTTAATTTCATTTTTTTGAAACTTAAAATATTGTCAACGACAGCAAGTAATTCGAAATGCTGAACTACTGAGCCTGTACAACTCATTTCCTCTTAAAGCCGTCCATCGCCATTCTAAACTACTGTTGTCAGTCTAACCATCTTAAAAAGCTATAAAATATTGAGAAGCGTTAACATAGTTTAAATCATGCAATAATAAAGTAATCTACTCACTCTCTGAAATCTCTAACGGACACAGCAACTGTGGAAACGCACTGAATTTGTGTCCAAATAGTTGTTTATCTGAACGAAAAGGGAGTTTTCCAAAAATTCGCTTTGCCAAATCGTACAATCTGTTTGTGTGTTTGTGCCACAACCTTGGTTGATTGTATTCAGTGGACAGCCACGCTTCGCTCTGCCTTGTTGTGCTTGTAAACTCTCTCGAGTGTGCAACTGTTTTTAACTCATTCAAAATTTACCGGTCACTGCAAAATTTGTGTATCCGGTTTCATCATTTGATGGCCTGTCCCAAACGCCAGTTCGTATTTCACTGACCTTTCACATATTTTTGTGGTCACGATATGGTTACACCCAGCAAAGAAATGAAAATAGAAATGAATAAAGCACACACAGAGAAGCGAGCAGAAATAAATTAGGGTAAAATTAGGATGAAGGATGCAGCACGTTTTGTACAATAATCGATGATTGCTTCCAATTCAGGGTTATCCCCAATTGCCTGCCCTGCGGCACTGCCAAAATGTTTTTTTTCCACTGCGTCAAAAGAAAACAAAGCACACTCAATGTGAGCAGAGAGCGGTGTGGAGAAAAAAAAATGTATTAATTGATTGATGAATATCGAATTAAATTTTTTTCCCCATTACGGTACAAATTACGTGTTTGTAGTGGACAATTCACTTAAGAAAACCAATAAACATCAATTGCATTTGTTAAAAGTTAAAAGCAGTGAAATTGTCATTAAAAGCTGTCGGTGGGATAAAGTGTCATGTGTCAAATACCCGGGGGGTACGCCTTATAATAGCCTATACTAGGAGGCTCCACCCGAAAGGGGTGCCTGTTTCAGGCTGAAGGTTTATGAAAGGATATTCCACTATTTGAAGTAGATGAAAGGATTGGGAAATCTGTCAATTCGGTCTGTAAAAAGGCCCCAAAGACCGGGCTAACAGATGCGTTAATAGCTGTGTAAAAGTCCGGAAAACGTTCTGGTTTGGTGATTTATTCATATTTCAAAGACGGTGTATTTACAGCAGTTAAAAGGGATGCAAAGTTCTAAACTAGGTGCGTATGTGAGGGGGGTACCATTTGTCAATGAAAGGTAGACGAAGGGCTACCTTTCTGTCAAAAATGGTGGTATAAAAGGATAAGGGGTTAAACCTTGGGGCTAAGCCTCCCCCTATAAAACCTATTTTTTAGTATAGCCCCCCCTTCCCTCTGAGCGTAACACGGCGTTTCTTCCTGAGCTTTTTCGCGCCCAAGGAAATGAACGCATGATCATAGTTCATATGCTAAGTTTATTATTATTAGCTTTGCAAAAACTGGTGATAAACTAGCTAAATTTGAAATGAATTGTGATATTTGAGATCATGCATCAAAAAATCACATGTACACTTGACTGACTTTTGATCAGAATTTCTGAATGGTTTTTTGGAGTTCTTTTATCGGAGCGAGAATTTCTGAATGATTTCTAAGTTCTTTTTATTTATGGAGTTCAGAATTTCTGGACGTTTTTTGGAGTTCTTTGCGGGGATCAGAATTTCTGGACGTTTTTGGAGTTCAGTTTGTGCGCATTTGAATTTCGGAATGTCACGTTTTGGAGTTCTGTTTAAGGATCGGAATTTCTGAATGTCAGTTTTGGAGTTCTTTCTGGGGGTAACAATTTAATTTCTGATTGTCTTCAGTTTGTGAGTTCCTTGTGGGGATCAAAATATTTGCACGTTTTCAGTTTGAAAGTGCTTAATGGGGATCAAATGTTCAGCTTGTCGTTTGGAGTTCTTTGTAGGGATTTGACATTTCTGAATGGTACGTTCTGGAATTCTGTTTGGGGAATCAGAATTTTAGAATGTTTTAAGAAGTTCTTTATAGGGGCTGAGGACGCCTGAAGGTTTCAAGAGTTATTTATGGAGAATAGTAAGAATTTCTGAACGTTTTTTGGAGTTGTTTGTGAGAATCAGACTTTCTGAATGCTGAATGATTTTTTTTGAGTTCTTTCTGGGGGTAAGAATTTCTGACATGTCTTTTTGGAGTTCTTTGTGGGGATCAGAATTTCTGCACGCTTACAGTCGTAGAGTCCTTTGTGGGGATCAAAACTTCTTATTGTCTTTTGGAATTCCTTGTGGAGATTTGAATTTCTGAATGATGTGTGGAGGTCTGGGATCAAAAAGTCTGAATGTGTTTTCGAGTTTTTATGGTAGTGAGAGTTCTTGAATGTTTGGGTAAGTCATTGGTAGGGATCAGAATTTCTGAACTTTTTCGAAGTTCTTCGTGGGAACCAGTTTCTGTAGTTTTTAAGTGTTAGAATTTCTGAATGTTGTCAGGGGTCGTTTGTGGGAATCACAATTTCTAATAGTTTTTTGGAGCTCTGTCTTTAAGGGGGTAAGAATTTTGAATGCTTTTATGGATCGGAGTTTAAGTCTCACTGGGTGGTCAAAATTTGTCAATGTTCTTTAGAGTACTTTATGGGGGTAAGAATTTCTGACTATATTGCTTGTTTTTTTTTTTTGTGGGGATCAGAAATTCTGAATATTTTTCGTTACCTTTCTTGGAACCCTTGTTGAAATGCAATCGGTGGAAATGATCGTTGTTTGTAACCTCCCACGCAGACGTTCTTAGGGTTCGTCACGCGTTCGTGGGGCAGGAACGCGTGACGAACCCCTAAGAACGTCTGCGTGGGAGGCTACGTTGGTTGACGCATAATAGGGAAAAAGGCAACGTCCATATCTTACTAAACTTCAGTAAGTTCCAATTTCTTTCAGCCTTTGTTGCCCATATCTTCCTAGATAGACGTGGAATTAAGGCACCAATTAAGAATGAGAAAATAGCACGAATTTTTTGCCTTCCCGTGGCTACATCCCTAAGTTTATAAGGCTTTTGCGTTTCGTTTTCTCCATGAATGTAGAATACCTACCTTGCGTCTTAAGACTTTGGTACGGAGGGTCTTGTGTTATTTCTAAAAAGCTAGCCTGAAATTCATCCGATTGCTTCGAGTCGTTTTCTCCTCTCACTGAGGGAGTAATAACGACTCGAAGTAATCGGATGAAATTCAGGCTACTAAAAAGCAAGCTATAAAGCAAAACTGGTTTCTGTTCATCTGTTTTAGTAAAATCCAACTAGTGGTCTATCATCAATGCTGCGCTCTGATTGGTTGAGCTACTACTAGGCTATATGTTATAGTCCACTAGTAGCGCAAAGCGCCGGCTTTTTGGCGGCAAAAAAGTATTAAAGTGTAGCTTTATCTAGCTAAAGTTGTTTTGTCTTGATATTTTTTACCAACTAGTTGGATTTTACTAAAACAATTATTCCTCTCGCCTTCATGGCCTCTGAGTCAATAGCCCATGAGGCCTAACTCAGACCCCATTCGGGCTCTTTCATGGGTCTCAGTTTGGTCTAAAAATAGGGGGGGGCGAGCCCCCCTGGCCCCTCCCCTGAATCCGTCACTGGTTTTCGTCAAACCGTTATTACATTTCAGGGGCTCCCATCGAGAATATAGTTCAAAACCACTTAAACATAGCATTGTTAAACGTATTTTAGCATTGAAACGGTAGATATAGGCATATTTTTATCCCCTAAACATTTTTCGTCTGTTCGGATTTCCTAGCTGAAAGTCTAGTGATCCAAAATTATAGGGATTAAAACTTACCTTTTCGAAAATTTCCGCGAAAAAAAGGTTCCCGAAAATTCTAGGTGACCTTTTTAGGGCAAAAATCCATTAAAAATGGGCAATTATACCATTTTTTTAGATGTTCGGAAATCCTAGGAGAGGAAGGAAAGCAAGGAATTTTACAACAAATGTTCCGAAAATTCTAGGTCTCGAAAATTGACGTTGGGTGTCCCTGTTATTTCTTTTAAAAAAACTAAAATTCAAAACCACGTTTAACAAAAGCTCACGTTTAAATATAAAGGTCTTCTCATTTCTATCGAATTTCCGGAATTTTTTGGTCAATATTAACCCGCAAGTTAACGGCATAATAAACAGTAAAACAGGAAACTACTGGTCAACAGATGTCCTCTTTTTGGGCTGTTTTGGCAGTTGAAAATTATTGTGGAAGTTCCTCCTCGAGGTGTTGTTTATTACGGAGCTCAAGCTACCACGACAAAGACGGCCGTGAAAACGTAATCTAAATAAACGAAATTGCGTTCTTTCAAGTTCTTCGGCCTTAATTTGGCCTCTCTCATTCCCAGGTGAGCTAACTTTCCTGACTTGAATTCTTAAGAATGCCATACAAGTTTAGAAAGAAAAAGGAAAATTCGTCGTCGTGTGTCCACGTCCTCAATAAAACGTCAAATTAAGAAGTTTGTCTTCGTGGTCGTGAAGTGGACGTCAAAGAAATGTGTGCCGAAAAGTGTCAACCACATGAAACGGTTGTTAGAACTAACGCGTGGTCATATTTGTTTTTCAGAATTTCTAAAAATAAAACGGCGCTATTTTCACAGTAGCCTGGGAAAACAGACTGTCGTTTCACGGCGCCACAACGTCGACTGTTCAGTTTTTCATGCCATTATAAGTTTTAGTTCTGAATTTCAATTTTACCACTTCCTAAATTTTTGAAGAATCAGTAGAAAAAATGGAGCGCAATAAACTAAAACAAACTGCAGCAACAATTTACGTTAATGAACATCACAAAGGTTTAGACAGTGTGACACAAAGGACACGTTCAAGGCGAGCACTTTCTCGCGTGCGCTCAGTCTTTTAAGGCAATCAGAACTATGTGCTTGGCCTTGCCACTGTATTTGCAAAGCCATTAAGAGTACAATATTCGTGACACTACTCGTCCTGTGTAACGTTACTGTGTTAAGTAACAAATCCACTTTAATAAAAAAAAGCATAGGACAATTTTACATACGTTCATTAATAATATTAAGTCTAATTAATTAAAATGCAGAGATTTATAGCAAGATAACAGGTACTACTGTTTTATCTTTCATCTTGCTGGCAACTAGTTGCGACAACTAAGAACCTAACTGTATTGCAATACACAGAATGAGTATCGAGCAACAGATTGTTACTTCCTTTTCGAGATTGTCGTTCTGAAAGAAAATGTAAAAGATGAAGAATCGTTAGATCGAAGCCGACAAAGGCTTAGTTTACACAAGAGACAATCATAAGCAAGAGCAAATTGCACAGATGTAGTAGAGATTCAACACTTTTGTTGGGAAAAATTCTAACAAAGGGTACTGATGAGTAGAGTAGAGTACTACATCAGACTGAATATCGTAACGATCTCTTCAATACCCCCCACCCCCCAACACCAAAGCGTTATAATTAATTATGGTGACTGAACTAAACCTGCCTCGTACTCAGACGTCTCTCTCTCTCGATGAAAATTTCTTTCTCCTTCCCATGGTCCCTTGTGCTTCGTCACCAGTCACTCTCGCGTCACTCGCGTTTCGCGCGCGCTTCTGTGCGAAAAACGAAGCCCCAGGGAGGAGACAGGTGGATGAACACAGTTCCTCTAGAGATGCTTTAAATTAAGCCTTTTAATCTTTAACTGCTAAGTTTGCCTTGCGAAGATAACACAATCAGTCTAGAGTACGGCAATTAAACTTGTCACCCACCCTGTGGAGAAAGTTTGTCCTGCTCCGCTAAGTATGACGAAAGGCGACTGCGCGGTTTTCTGTTTTTCTATGAGAAGGGCGGTGGTGTTGAGAGGCGTGTCTCCTGAGTTCATCTTCTGAAGCGCCTGTAAACGCAAGCACATAAGCTTAGTTATGTGAACTAAGGGCGCTTTCCAAAAGTCAGAGTTGGCCGGCCCGACTATTGCCGGACCTGTCATTTTAACAATGAAATAGGCTTTTTCCAAAAGTTTTGCTGAACAAAAGATCTCTTTCTTGCATACTACTTAGGATTTTACTGATCTGGCTGGATGGTTTTGAGTTAAAGTGAATTTCTCATTACAGTGTGAATGGTCCAGCCGGTCAGTTCTGACAAATGGAAAGGGCCCTAAGACTGACTGATTGACTCAGTCTCGGAATAATTGTATAGCTTGAGTTTAGGTATTATAACAGCAGTCTGACCCATAGACTGCAAAACAGTCCCTATTTTGCGTATTCAAGTACGCGCGAGCAGTCAAACAAAAGGTGTGGAACGAGGCTGAAAACAGAGAGCGAGACTGGGGAGAGACGCTAAAAAATACGGACTGTCCGTTTTGCATACGTTATATTCGTTCGAATTACCCGCTTCTCCCAGCCACGGGCAATTCCCATTGGGTAAATTTCGATGCAGCTGTCACCAAGCTGTCAAGTAATGTTTTCAACAAGTCATTCGCGATATTCCCTACCGAGATGAATTGCTAAAGCTTTCACCGTAAAATGACGGATCGACCGGATATGCTCGCAAGAATTGGGATTTGTTTGAAAATCGGAGCAGAGGGAAGCTTTGGAGTTACTGCTCAGGGGAAAGGATGTTTTCCGTGTTCTACCAACAGGATTTGACAAAAGCCTCATTTATCAGATGTGGTTCACGCAAAGAGTTCGTCAAGTTCTGTTCAACGGCCGACCGTCATTGTTATCTTGCCTGGCTAAAAAAGGGGGATCGGTAGGAAACACACGACTTTCACCTGATGCAAAAATGCTGCTTGTTCCAATGAATTGTTTTCTCTTTCGAGTAGATTATGCTTTGGAGGAAAACGTTTTGACTGAGCAATCGTGAATTTTGGCCGCTTATTAAATATATTTCATACTGACAGGTCGTGACACGCATATTGATTTTCTCTAGTCGGCATGATTTGCCCTCTGATGCAAGACCGTTTTCTTTCTTGGCCCCTTTAGAAATGTCAAGCTCTTCATTGCGGCTGATTAAGGGTTTTAGGTTGTTTTATTTCTCCAAAGTGCCTCCTGGATTTGAATAATTTTAAGCGATTTTCTTTATGTCCGTGAATGTGACTATTTCCTGCAATGTTTTGTCACGCTGGGCCCAGCTCGTTTGGGTTTTTAGCAGGATTTTAAATTCTCACAGATAGTGATTTACAGAGCTAAATCACCAAGACGTGGATTGGAATGAGGGGATTTACTCATTCTTTTTAATCGCAATAATTGTTCATTGTCAGTTGGCGTGTTCAGTTCTTCTCTAATTTGCGAAAGCATCGCCGTGCAGTTTCCCGGGGCAGTTTCTAACCTTTGTTCCGCACGAGGAGAAAACTCTTGTGGAGAAAGATTCTACTTCCTTGGGGACAACGAACTTTTCGTTTTTTTGTAGGTCGGCCCGCTTTGGTAACGTTTCTCCTTTTCTGGTAGGCGCAACAAACACATTTTCAGATCTTATCCATCTACTCGTAGAATTGCCGAACTGTGTTTTGAAACAACAGCCGCACATTCTACAATTTATCCGAAGCGCTTGGCACTTTCGGCTTTCTCCCTCTTCGAGGAGCAGGCAGGCTTTGTTGTTGTACAGCCACTTCCACTCATTTTTGATCCTCCACTATATATACTACATTTCACAGAGAAGCAACGCCAAAAAATACTTTAGAATTACCGGATTACAGTGTCAAGATTCGAAGCCAAGTGCAGACAATAACACGCGGTATTCTACATCGAAATCAGTCACCGAGTGTACAATTTCATAAGAGGGCGGGGTTGTGAACAGATTTTTGGCAGCTCGACGACATTTTTGAACCCCCTGGTTGGAACGAAATCATTGTATGGAAAACGGACAGTCGGTTTTTTCTCTCTCGCCTCACGAGGCTCGCGCGGTTCGCGCGCATAAGAGTCTTACGCCACGCGTTACCGATTTCTTTACAGATTTTGAGGAAAAAACCGACTGTTTTGCAGTCTATCTGACCCATGACTACCCTGCCAGAACAGCCTTTCTTTCACTGACTCGAGAAAGACTTGGCACGAATCGAGTAAGATCTTTATGGAGCATGCGCTGCATGTTGCTCAGGATACAATTTTAAACCCATACCCAATAGCCCTGAGCTTGCCATTGGTTTATCAATAAACCGATGCTCGCACTCCAAAAAACCAGTTTGATGGTGTCCCCCTTGTAATGTTTACTGCGCTGAACAAGTTAATGCCGATTTTCTTTTTGCCTTAGAATAAGAATCCCACAGTGTAACTTTGTGGTGGCGCTGTTTACCTCTTTTGAAATTTTCAATGTTGAAGCAATGACGTTCAATGTTGGTATAATGTAATTTAATATTGTTATGCATTTACCACTTCGTCTTTTAGAATTCTCCATGTTGGAGCAATGACGTTCAATGTTGGTATAATGTAATTTAATACTGTTATGTACTTACCACTTCGTCTTGCCGCTTCTTATTCCTTTTTTCTGTCTTAGTTTTGCCTGACGCTTTTCCATGGAACTTATGTGACAAAAAACGGAAAGCCTGAAAGATAAACATGTGCAGGACGCATTTGTCATCAACACGTTATGCGCTACCTTCTACGTCTTAATTCCGAATTTCCAAAGTCACCAATCAAACGTCAGCTGATCTGAGTTCATTCACTAAGCCAATCAAAGCCAAGAGTGCTTATCTCCGTCCGCTTAACTAATCACAAAGAGTAACTCGCCCGTGCGTGGATTCTCTAACGGATCAGAAGCTTAAGTCACGAGCGCTTGTCTCCGTCTGCTAAATTTAACACAAAGCCACGCGCGCTTTCACCCAATCCTTACCCTAATCAGAACCCACGCACGTACTTGTCAACAATCATTAAATCAACCAAGCCTCACGCGCGTTTTCCCCTGTTCGCCAAAGCATTCAAAGCCGCGCGCGTGTGCCTTAGTTCTTACTACAAACTGTGAGTACCTCTTTAGGTGAAAGGAAGCGGCCATTGTCATCATAGTACTCCAGTTTTATATCAGGCTTGTAATCCTGTTTGTTCCTGGATCCACCACCGTATCTAACAAAGGCAAATCAGGAATCATCACCAATCATAGTCAGTAAATAATATTTAACTATCTTCTTCGATGCGGCTTCGTTTGTCTTACTACCAAAACAATTCAAGCAGAATTTATTTGCTTTCATTAACAGTCATACATTTTTTATGTTGATAGTTTGGCCAGAAACGGCCAAGCCTCTAAAGCGGCAGTATTTCAGGTTATCGGGATAAGGCATATAGTGGCAGATCCATACCTTCAGATGGGAGGGGGAAACCCGGTCATCCAGACCCTGAGATAGGGGGCGGGCGATCTCAAAAAAATTTTTTTTGGCCCTTTGGGCCTCAGTTTGGTCTAAAAATAAGGAGGGGGCGGCCCCCCGGGCCCCTTTTTTGGATCCGCCACTGGGATATACTGCCTAGATCTCAAGCGTTTTCACCTCCTTGCTCTGATCAAGTGTAAATAGTATCGTTTGAAAGACTACTAATCGGTGGCTATACGTTTTTGGTTTCTGTGATAACGAGTCGAGGCGAATTAAGAACCGGGCAGAGGGATAGTTAGCTGCAACTTTTGAGTCTTTGGAAGGAGTCGTTTGTTGCCAGTGAACAATTAGATGAACGTTAATAAGAAATACTTTCCTGTGGCACTGTTAATTATTCGGTATAAGTGGTTCTATTTTTTGTACCTATGGGTGAAATCCTAAGTGTTACCATTCAAATGAAAGCTACTAAGCAGTACTTTCCTGTGGTACTGCTTATTATGCTGTACAAGGTGGTCTTAACTTTTGAGTCTGTGGATGAAATCCTAAAGTGCGACCATTCAAATTAAAGCTACTGAGCAGTACTTTTCTGTGGTAGTGTTTATTATGCTGTACAAGGTGGTTATAACTTTTGAGTCTGTGGATGAAATCCTAAAGTGTGACCATTCAAATGAAAGCTACTGAGCAGTACTTTCCTGTGGTAGTGTTTATTATGCTGTACAAGGTGGTTCTAACTGTTGAGTCTGTGAATGGAATCCTAAAGTGTGACCATTCAAATGAAAGCTACTGAGCAGTACTTTTCTGTGGTACTGTTTATTATCCTGTACAAGGTGGTTCTAACTTTTGAGTCTGTGAATGGAATCCTAAAGTGTGACCATTCAAATGAGAGCTACTGAGCAGTACTTTCCAGTGGTACCGTTTATTATGCTATACAAGGTGGTTCTAACTTTTGAGTCTGTGGACGAAATCCTAAAGTGTGACCATTCAAATTAAAGCTACTGAGCAGTACTTTCCTGTGGTACTGATTATTATGCTGTACAAGGTGGTTCTAACTTTTGAGTCTGTGAATGGAATCCTAAAGTGTGACCATTCAAATGAAAGCTACTGAGCAAGACTTTTTTTTGGTACTGCTTTTCATGCTGTTCAACGTGAAAGCTACTGAGGAGTTCTTTCCCATACAAGATCTTACAGACTAGAATTTGCAAATGTTGGAACGTTGCTTTTTTTAAACACTTTCGGAAGTTGAAGAGTTAAATGAAAAGTGACTCACTAACCTGTCTCTGTCACGGTCTCTATCGCGGTCCCTGTCAAAATCCCTGAAAAAAAATGGTACGGTTAACGTCTTTTTCTCTTATTCATCTCGCAAGAACGTAGGAAGAAAAACATACCAATAGACCTTTTACCGACAAGGCGACCATATTGAATTTATTAGATTTAAGGAGTTACTTGCGCTTTTCGGGCAAAAAGAGAACTTCACTGTATATTTCTCGGGAAAAAGGCGATCATTATTACATCCAAACACGACATAACGATAGTTTTTTCCCATTACAATCTTTTTCTAGGAAAACTTAAAGAAAAATTGGCCAGAAAAGCGCGCGTTAATACTGAGCCAGTATATCGGATCGTGCTCAGGCCCCCTGGGTATCCCATAATACTCCTTAAATCTAATAAATTCAATATGGCCGCCGTATCGGTCAAATGGTCTATTATAGTTGAATAATAAAAAGAAAATTTTTACCTAGGCGGTCGTCCACCGCGTTCTCTTTCTTCCTCGCTGCAAGAGAAAAAAAAAGAAAGTGAAAATCAGACAGACTTAAAAAGATAAGTGCGCAGAGACACGTCTCTGGTATCATTTTGTTAACTGTACAAAAAAACTTTCAGTTTAAGAACTTAGAGGTAATTTATCGAAGATTTCAAAACATTTGAAAAGTCACTAAGACCCTGTTTGCATGGAGTGGGGGACCCCGGTCTACTGGGGTAGGTTTCTTTTGTTTTGTGTCCCCTAGAGCGTGAGAACAAACGAAACCAACCCCACTAGACCGGGGTCCCCCACTTCATGTAAACAGGCCCTAAGAGAAAACATCCAACATTTAACTTTGTTAATATTCATTGAAACGTTTCTTCAAGTAAAAAGAAATTCGCTAAACTTTGGTTATTCACGGACTAACGCCCTATCTAACTGACTTGCTGGCTGAATGGCTGACTGATTGACTGCAGCTGATTGGTTTATTCATTGAAAGTCCACAAGCAAAAATTCTAAAAGACTCGTTTTCTAGAGCGTGTAGCTCATAAATGAGGTCTTCAGTGTTTATTAATTACGATGATAAGCGGTCAACCTCCACAACTAACCTCAATGTCTAATAACGACTAATAACTGACACAGGGACACACTGAAAAAACTGTGCAAAGGTTAAGGTGAGGCAAATTTTAAAGGGAGTTTTGAGACTCACCGCATCTTTTCTTCATCCACAACACCGACAGATGGCAGAAACGGAAGAGCTTTGCCTTCATTCTTGGTTTTAGTTGTTTGTTCCAATAAACCTAAAGGAATTTCAACACGAGAGCGTTAGTTTTTTAGTGCGACATCTCGTGCTCATCTTCTAATCACGCCACATTTTTTCCTGTAGTATCGACTCGTATTCAGTAGGGGGAAGTTAAGGAATAATAAATCACCTGATTGAAAAGGCAAAAAGAACATTACAAACAAGAATAGCCTAAGTTCAATGTAATAAAATTCTAACATGACTCCGAGCCTTTAGGGTAGAAATTGCAAATTCTTCAAGACTCCATTGTCTCGCAATTCCCAAAAGAGACCTGAGCACAAAGAAAACCAAACCAAATACAGAAAAATGACCAGAGAGCCTCAGAGTCATGTTAGAATTTTAATACATCGAACGTAGGCTATTCGCAATGTAAAAACCCTTGCTGTGAAAACATTTTATTTTTGATGGTCCTGCAAAAATATCACAGTCTGGTGGGGGAAGCGCAAAGAAGCTTTGACGCAAATTTTGATTCATTATACGTTTCTGGGAAACTGCTCACCCACCCCTACCCTAAGCCAACATTTTGCCCTAAGTGAAAAGTAAGTGTTAATGTTCGCTTAGGGAAGGGGTAGGTGGGCAGTTTTTTTTGCGATGCAGTTACCTTTTTTAGATGCGAGAAACAAGGCAGCGCCCACTCCAGAGCCAACCAGAGGCTCTGCTTCAAGAATGCTACTTTCAGTTTCCTTAAATACAAATACACGCAAGAAGGAGTTAGAGTTATTATTGGTTTAACTGGCCAAAACCAAAGTTTAATTTACGGTAGAAAGGCAAACGTGAAGGTCCTTAATTCATGTCGGCAACTCGTAACAGTACTCATTAGGCTGATAAAATGAGGCCGCCGGTGCGCTCATTTTACCCCCCACCGTACCCCTCCTTCTCACCATCAGTGCTTCGTTTTACCGGAATTTACAGCTTCCTAAAGCTGCACTTGCAACTGTTTCGGATAACACGCGACTTGCGTTGCCAAAAACGTTTCAGGATTTTGGGTTTTTCTTTGACGTCAATCAAACCGTTACCATAGCATCCAGTCCTTGCTTGTCAAATAAAGGCGGCAATAACAAGCAGAAGTAGCAAAATTAAATGTTGGCGGGAACGAATGATTCGTTTTCACCCTCCCATATCTGTGTTCATGCTGGATTAGGAAGCTCTACAGGAACAATTTCACCTTGGGAATCTAAACTTGCCATGTTTCGGAAAGAAGGTAAAAAAGCTTGAGAGCTAAAACTTGCAAACACGCGAGCTCTGAAGTTCAAAAGCAGCGAAACTTGAAACAAACAAAACAGATCGAAATCCCTCATTTTGAACCCGCTGAAGTAAACTTGTTTCCTATGAGGTCCGCTAAGATGATTGAACCCAAAATCCAAAGAAGTTTTTGACAACGCCGGTCGCGTGTTATCCGAAACAGCTGTAAAGGAGAAAAGTCAAAACAAGGATTTGGGGTCACACCTCGAAATCGAACTCGGAGCCTTTTGCACAAAAAGCAGCGCGGTAAACAACTGTGCTAATCGCTACTTTTTCAATGGTACTCTTAAGGTGGCTTAACACAGTTTAATAGGTTTTAAGTCGTTACTATGACTACTATTCATCGGGAGTGTTATTTTAAGAGATTCGTTGCAGGTATAAAGCTCAAATTTGGCACGGACAATATATATTTATAAGAAATTAAGTAGGTCAGGTTTTAACTTTAACGTAAGATTTCGATCGTTTTCATGGCAACACGGAAACAAGCCTTAAACCGTTCTTGATCGATTGCTTGCCGCCTATATCATCAGACGCTTACCAAAACTCAAAATTGGCCGGCAGGACCGGTGATTTTGAAAATGAAATAATTAGTCGTTCACCAAAATTTCCGCTCGACCCAGCAATGTCGCGGTTCATACAATTTAGGAGGAGACTAGTCTGGATACTCCTTATTAACAGTGGAATTCTCTTTAAAACCAAACTGGTCTGTTCAAAAAATTCTGGGAATTGGTAAGCGCCGGTCAGAGACATTTTGCCTTCCCCACAGTCCATCAGAATGCATAACTAAACACCAGTCTCCCTATCCAGCCCAAATAATCGTTCGAGACAATGGATATTAATTACGTGCGAGATGTTTGTACAGAAAACGTAATCAATTTAAGCAGTACAGGAAAGCCAACAAACTTTTTCCCGTTCTTTCTTAATCTTTTCCTCTTGAGTTTTAACCCATTCCCAGCCTCCTTGCGGCTCAGCTTCTTCGTCTTTCTCCACATCCATGCGCCACTGTAAAACAACATATTTTACTGATCAGAAAAAAGTTGGCAATACTCGTTGTATTTTTATCCTTGGTTTAAAGCTTATTTTCCTTCATTTCGAATTTATCACCATACAATACCATACCCCCCTAAAAAGAAAAATAGAGTTTAAAAAAGGATAAAATTGAACCACAACATAAAGTTTGGACTAATATTTTACGAACTCGGTTTTAACGATCTTGCGCAACAGATTTTTGGTTTGTTATTGCTGATTTTCGCTGAAATGCAAACGAAAATCTAAAAATTCTACTCGTACAAATCTCCGCAAGAGATTCCTGAGTGCACTAACATTTATAAAGCTTCCAGATTTTCACTTTTACTGCTTCCGAAAATAACTGGTCCCCTTTTGATTCAGCGAAGAGTAGAGGGTCGTTATTGGCTCAGGGACAAATAAAATTAAAAGAAACTAATGCCTAAAGAAGCACATAACTCGGACTTTGGATACTTCACTGACTAGACACGAGTATCAGTAAATTCCAAATCAATCCACGTTTGACACAACTGCAAACGTTCAGGCCCCAGTTATTCAAAAGGTGAATTGATAAACCTATCCACCGGATAAATCACTATCCACCAGATAACGTAACTGGTTTCCATAAGACTTTTCCGCTGGAAAGCAATTCATCCGGTGGATAGCGTTATCTAACTTTTGAACATCCAGGGCGAAGATTAGGGTTAGGGGACACTTCGTGATGTATGTCATGACGAGCATGAATATTAGGGTGCATTTTTGGACATAACTCTCAAAAGGGAGGGCATTCCGCCACATTAAAACCCTTTTAATATTTTGATAGTTTTTTATATTTTATAGTGTGGTAGTTTTTCATACCTCTGTATCATCCTCTTCCTCTTCTGCTTGCTCACCAGGTGCACCTAAGACGAAGCAAAATTACACCTTACTCAGTGATTTTGTTACAGATAGTTATGGTGAGTCCTAGGACTCATCTTGAGAAAAATCATGAGTTCAAGTTCGGAACCAATGAGCCCCAGTTAAAAAAAAAAGAAACGAGTCCGAAATGGAAAATGCTTTGGCCTTTATGTAACCAGACAGTTAATCTGAAGACAGACTCCAAAACTCTGTATTACATTATACTGAACTTAAAATATAGTCCTTCTATTTTAAAGCAAAACAAAGGCTAAAAGAAATATGCATCCTGCATCGTTAATTAACAGACACAAAAACTGTCACAGAAATTACTCGAACGGGATATTACAACAAATACACATGTTCAGATCGATCAATCGATCTTTGCGTCCTACGGAACGCATGCCATGAATTATTTTGCGTTTCTGGGGATTTTTAGGCGTCAGGGAGGAAGGACGCAGAGGCAACAAAATCACTGCTTACTAAACAACCGCGCTACTAAAGGCCAGCAAGCCGCTTGAAGGAAGTCTGCCAATAGGTATAGCTAGTGCTATGTAGATGGATCATGCATTACTGAGGGAGAATACAATTCCAGGAATTTTCCAGGCTAAAAGGTATAGGTTAAGAGTCTCTTTTGACGTTGGCAGCTCGAAACAATCATCGCCCGATTTAACAAATCTGAGGCTGACAGTACACCTGTTTTAACCCCCCTCTCTCCATCAGTGTTGCGTTTTACCGTGATATTTAAAGCTACTGAAATCTCCAGGGTACAATATGAGCCTTTGAGGACTTCAGTCGAACTCGAAGAAAAAACAATTCTAAGCCCCAGTAGTTCAAACATTGGATAGCGCTATCCACCGGATAAATCTCTATCCAGTGGATAATCCAATTGGTTTCCCTAAAACGTATCCACTGGATGGCGATTTATCCGGTGGATAGCGCTATCCAACGTTTAAACAACCGGGGCCAGGGGCCCGTTTCTCGAAAGTCCCGATAATTATCGGGCCCGGTAAGCTGTCTCTGTTTAAAGATCGAGGTTTCAATAGTTTTGCATCTAACATGATAAAACTGTCAGTTAATGAAACAAAATGGAGTAGTTTGCTAGCCAGGACCCGTGCTCTTATTCTTCATATTTCGATTTGAATATTTGATTTCGGGCCCGTAAAAGTTACCGGGACTTTCGAGAAACGGGCCCCAAGGCCTTAAAAGAATACTTTCACTTATAGTGTCAGTGCGAATAGCCTCCCACGCAGAAGTTCTTCGGCATGGCTTTGTGTCGTAGGAGAGGACAGTTGGCCCAGTCGTTTTGTGCCAAAAGGAGGGGCTTAGCTCGAGCAAAGCGAGACGCGAGAGAACTCCTCACACTCGCGTCTCCCTTAGCGTGCGGATCTCGCGTGACTTCTCGCGACTTCCTCAAAAGGAGAGCTTGCTCGCAGGCAAAGAGGGGGTGGGCCAGGTGTTTTTTTATCCACCACATTTCTTAATTCTCCGGCCCACCCTCCTGTACTCTTTTACCAGTCCTTAATATCCTAAAGCTAGAGTTATCTGTAGGAGATAAGTGCAATATAAGCGCAATATGGTACTTACTTATCGTCGGTATTTCACCCAGTGTGCGACAAAACTCAGATGTGGAGTTCAAGATGATGGAATCTAAAATTCACAAGCAACAATCCAGTTATTAGTTAGCAAACAAAACAAAAGCCAGTCATACTTTTTTAAACTCTTCAAGTTTGTGAATGATGCTTCTTCAGTCAGTGACACACCAACGCCGACAAAAATCCGAATTCTCCCTACAGGATAGTCGAACATTCTGATTACTGGACTACAGTCGGAATTCAACTAACAACCACCTCTCCCAGCGGATAAATAATCCACACGTTGACTGTTGTTATAACCTGTCTACAACGGCCACCTCTTTATAACGGCCACTTTCTTGTGTCCCTAAGGTGTCCATTGTGGAGAGGTCCAACTGTAACTACGCATGCTCTACCACTGAGCAACAGAAGAATTCTGGGAGCTACAATACTCGTCACAAATCTTGAAACACTTGCGTGATTTTCCCCTCTCCAATGTTAATTTGGGATTACAGTCATCTCAGTTCTCCAAAATACGCGTGGCTCAACATTGGGGAAGGAGAGGGGCACATTTGAGTGAGAACAAAGGTGTGAAGAGTGAATGTAAGAAATTGGGAGAAAATTCAAGACAAATGGCTTCTGTTTCAACGATTTGTGACGAGTATTGTAGGGTCATGAAAGGGTCATAGAGTTATCCCAGAAGGATTCACAGAGTTCTCAAAGAGGTCAAAGAGTACACTGAGTTCTTCCAAAAGGATTCGAACATATCAACTTCTGGTTACTAGACTTGGTCCGGCAGATGCTCTAGCAGATAAGCTATAGGAGAACTCTACAATAAAATTGAGGTTCAAGCTTGTTATTGCTTTTTTCACTCTCATCAGCCAGGCGTTGGAATTGCATAAACGCCATAACTCGAAGTACTGATCAGCTGGGAAAGGAAGAAATGAGTAGAGAAAGTTACGAGAATAATGTCACTGTAAACCTACCTTTCTTATCCGTGTCTTCTTCTTCTTTCTCTTTCTTAACAGTGGCGAGTGCCTCAATTACCTACGAATCACCACGCAGACAATCAGGGCTGTCATTTTACATCCGAGGGCCGGGCATTTTCCCCCGCTACTTTCATAGGAAAATGGAAGAAAAATAGAACCAAAAGAAATCCCTAACTGTTTGATTCCCCGCCTACTTGTCGTATTTGCCCGGCAACTTGAAATTTTAGTGACAACCCTGGATACATTAATAGTAACCCCCTCCTCCCCCCCCCCCAAAAAAATCGCCTGATCGCAGGTTATAACCCATATGATGGCCTTTTCGGGGAGTTTCCACCCAAAAGGGGTACCTTTTCCAGGCTTTAGGTAGTATATGAAAAGATAGGGAAAATCTGACCTTTAAGTATTTAATGGGCCTTTAATTAAAATATTTCGAACAGATCCATCTTATGGCCGTATCATTATAATTTTTTAAAGGCTACATACGATGACAAGAAGGCTCATTATGAAAGGGACACCTCTTTTTTAATGGAATAAGTGGCGTATAAGAAGGTAAGAGGTTGGACCTCGGGGCGGATTCTGTCCGCATAAAACATTGAGTAGACCCCCGGGGTTCGGCCTGGGATCGAACCCAGGTCTACAGTACCCAAGTCCACAACTACATGATCTAACGAGTCAGCGGTTTTTATAACTAAGATAATTCTCTGCTTCTAATACACACCCTTTCAACGCCAGTTGCTGCTTTCTTTTGCTTCAACCGACGAGATCTACAGAAAACAATTTAACACCATCGGCATCAGACACGCGTGACACAAACACAAAATAAACGACTACAAAGGAACCTCGCTAAACGGCCACTTTAAAGCTAATTAAAGCGGCCATCTCCTTTGGGGGATTTCGTGAAAGCCACGCGCGCACGTCACACGAAAGAAGACACGAAAGCGACAGGCGGGCCTTTGCCGTTCACTCGCGCGTTCTCTTATCGCTCGTCTGGTTTTCCACTGGAAATGAAGAGCTTGCTCGCAAGCTACGATGCGGCCAACGGCCTCATTATGAAACCCTAACGCGTATATAACTTGTAAAATCAAAAATAAGTTTTCTAATATCACCGACTGACAATAAATGACACGAATAAGATATAACCCGTTGATCACCTTTCCAGTGCCAGCTGTAATTCCAGCTGGGCATCATCCTCTTCAATTATTCCACCATAGTCATTCTCAGTTGCAAGGATTTCTAAAACAGAAATCAACGACACCAAGCTAAGTAACTAAAATGAATCAATTGGAGCGCATTCTCAATGTTTTTTTATTTATTCTCTCTCACATTGCGGTTGCCTAAACGTTACTGATACCTTGGCAGTTATTAGACTACGACCAGTCCCTCACTTTCCACATGGACAGTAGAGCGACCGAATTACCCGAGCGCACGTGAAAATTTCTCTCCTTCCTCACCGTCTCGTCTCTCCTCGCGCGCGGCGATTTTCACGCATGCCAGCATATTTCCCTCGTTTTACTATCTCTGAGGAAAATGAGAGACTACTCGTAGTTTAGAAAGTTAAGGCCGTCAATAATTTCCTTTGTTTAACCATACAACTGAGACTATGGAGTAAATCAAACCTTCGTCCTCTGGCTCCAGTGGATCTAGTTCCATCATGTCTTCTTGTTCTTCTTGCTCCCGTCTTTTAGGAGCATTCTTTAGGATGGACTTTACGGCTCTGTATACATATAGTAACGTAGAGAAAAGACAATTTACCCTTCGTTTAATTTTATCACCTTGTAAAATAATAGAACCACATACAAATGCAACACGAGGATATGGTCATCAGCACCTGTTGAATGTCTTAAACCATCCGTATTTTTGGCCTTTGTGGGAGAGCGAACTCCTCATACAATGTACAATCATAGTCACCCATCTTGGTTTATGAAAGCAGAGGGGGTAGATTCGACTGGGCACTAAAAGATCGTTGTCTCCATTGGGAAGCCTTTTTCCATACGTCAATTAAAACACTGGAGGGGCTGGAGGGTGTTAGGGTTTTAGTTTGTTCTTGATTGCCCTGCATTTGGCGTGAGTGGTTAGTGAGGATGCTGGATTTCTCTAGCGTATTAATACACCCAAGGTTCTATCTAGGGTATTTGAGGGAGGGTAGAAGCTCCCCACCCCCCCCCCCCAAAAAATATATTGTTACCATTACAGTATATAAGTAACTGTATTGGAAAAATCATCCAGACGCGACGAGATCAGTGCACATGAAGTAAGTATCCCCTATCTACGGGCACTATATGACAAGGAACAAGATCACGACTAAAAAATGAAATAAAATACCACTGTAACATCTCTCAAAATTGTGTCTCAAAATGCACCAGATTGCATCTCAGTGCATATTCATTTCAAAAAAATTACCGGGACGGGAGGCAGGCCCCCGGATCCTGCTAGGAAGCTCATGGCCTTCGGCCACTCGGGACTTCTCTCCCAAACGATAAATCCAAGATAGCACCCTAACACCCTTTCTGCTTCAGCAATAATAGGGAACTTAAGCAAAGACGTTTTTGAGCGACGCACGTCAACCGGAAGTTGCCCTTTTTCATTTTTGGGCGATGGTTTTGCCAAATTTTCAGTCAAATCGTCTCTATAAGAGTAAAGAAACTAAGCAATACAAATTACATAGCGTCAAGGCATATTACAAGGGAAAAGTCCTCACTTCCGGTTGACGTCCGTTGCTCAAAAACGTCTTTGCTTAAGCTCCCTAATATCAGCTCACTATACCTTGAACCACGATCACTGTTTAAATCTGTTTGACCCGGTAACACTTCAAGATCATCTGCCTGTGGAATGAATACAGTCATTACTGAGTAATTGTTGTTAAGTATGGTTTCCATAATACGATCCAGAACATGAACGATGACTGTTTGATGTCACATCGGAAAGACATCTGAGTGGCGCCATCTTCACAACAAACTCGAGTAAGGGGCGGACCATTGGAAAACTTATGGGGGGGCGCGGGCGAAGTACAAAAAAAGATATTCGCGCAAGGGAAAATTAAATGAAAAAAATTCTTGTACGCCAATTAATCCCAAAAAATATTCGTGCAATTCATACAAGGAATTTGATAACGAAAAAAAATTCCTGCGGCTTGAAAATTCCCCTCACCCCACCCTATAATTTTTCTAATGGTCCGTCCCTAAAAATAAACATTACATGCTTGCGATCGCTATAATATTAAGGATGTGTCTGGGGTTGACTAAACACGTCTAACGCAGGCTAGTAAAGAGCGTAAGCAAAGACGTTTTTGGACGACGCACGTCGACCGGAAGTGTGCCCTTTTTCATTTTAGTATGCCTTGACGCTACCACATTTGTCTTACTAAATGTCTTTACTCGTCTACAGACGATCTGCCCGAAAATATGGGCAAGTCCGCTGCCCAAGAGTGCAAAACATCCACTTCCGGTTGACGTGCATCACTCAAAAACGTCCTTGCTAAAGTTATCCACTGTAAATTCTGTATAACGCCTCCCGGGGGTTTATTTATTTCAAGGCGTTTGAGGCGGGGCGGAAGAATAGAGTGGGGCTTATTTGACTTAGCGAAACTGGGTGCTATACCGCTTTTTCACTAGAGGATGGTATCAATCCCATAGAGAACAAGAATGCAAAGTGGGAACGCTAATGCACATAAAGTTGGCGGTCATGCAGCCGAAAATCAAAAAACAAATCTAAACTTCCAGCACGTGAATCAAACATACCATTAAAATCGTAAAAGTGCACCGCCATATCCCCCAACGAAGGAAAATAAAACTTGAGCCATGGATACCACAACATACAACAGTGTCTTATCAAATCTCAATGTTGTGTTCAATAGAGGTAGAACGTGCTCAAAAAATGTTTGGCCAGGATCTCATCAGCAATAATTGTTGAACAGTGTGTCGTTGCCTAGTAGAAACAATTCTGCAAACTCATCTCAGATCTAAGGAGAGTCACAATTCCTTAGCAGAGATTGTTACCTTTAAGGTCTCCCTCTTCTTGATTTTTCTTCTTTTCTT